AATATTTTTGAGTGAACAAAAGCTAATAGCATAAGTGACACGCCTTGTGAGGAACACAATGGATTTATAGCGAAAGATTGGCTGTCAGAGAAATTCTCATCTTATTATCTTATTTTATTTTATTTTATTTTTATTAGATTTTAAGCTGTTTGTAGTCTGTGTAAAGGTGCTCTAGATATATTGATCTAAAATTATTTTCTGTGGAAGTCAAGAATAAGTAGAAAGCAAGCTTGTGTCTCATATTCAAACTTTGAAACTCAAACATACCCTCCAAAGAAACTGTCAACTCCACAGTTTTATTCAAAATATTTCTCAAAATCCCCACACGCTCTTTTAAACTCACCAATCGTCTATTTTTTTCTCTATTTATGAGGAGGATGCTCTTTATCAATGACGGTTACAGGTAATGGAATCGTCCTGCTCGACACCAGGGTCGAGCCGTTCACGTTCAGCGGCAGGCTTACGCCTGCCACTTCACCTACAACAACCATCATCCAGTAATTCAGGTGAGCAAGGTAATGAATCATTCATCCATTCATTTATTCATTCATTTGTTCATTCATTCATTCATTCAACAGTTGCAAAAATATTGACCAAAAACCCAGACACCAGTTTTATGTTGTTTCTTTTTATTTTCTTAAAGTGATTATTATTTTTGTTTTTCGCCTTTGTAGTCTGATGTTTAAACTGTTAGTTTTTAATTATTTTTTTCTGGACAGCAGGATTCATTGATAAATTTGTCTGAAGCCCCTTAACAATGATTTGAATTTTTTGATTGAACTTTTTTTTTGTTGAAAAAAAACCGAATTGCTATTGTTCTTTTTATGATGTAACCTTTCTGGATACCCAAAATTTTTAACAAAATGACTTAATCAAAAAGAGTGTAATTTGACTAATTGCATTTGGCGCAAGGAACTAAAAATAGCATGGAAATAAATGGAAGTTAAGAGGTGTTGCATGGCGAGACCCAATGAAAAAGGCCTGTTTCTTGCGAAATTTCTGGTTGAAAAGCGGAACCGCAAACCGTTGCATGAGGTTCTCAAATTACTCGTGATTTCATGCTTTCTCTGAGAGAAAGAAACACTTTCGCTATTGACTGGAAACAAGAAGGTGTAAATTCAAAACATCCCTTTGTTATCTTTATAGTGAACTTTGTGGAAGGAATTTTTTTGCGGGATTATTTTGTTTTATTAATTTTTTTTGCTATTGAAAGTAAGGAAATGTCATGCTTTCCAGTATCTCTCAAATATCTCTCAAAACATACTATTCAGGCTCCATAACTATTTTTCTTTACTTATGTTTCTCAACGAAACATCTGAAACTTTTCTAATTGAATTTTCTAAGATGGTATGATATCTTATAAATCAACAATTATCCATAGTGACTAAATTTGGTTTGTTTTTTTTTTAAATTTAATTTCTGAGCTTATATCACTGTGTGCTCCCTTTGTTTTGCTTAGCTTTGTTTTGCTTAGCTGTACATTTCCTACTAAAATCAGTAACTGTTCAGGCGGGTAGAAAAAATTTCCAAGGTTACTGAAGTGGTAGAAGTTCATGTGGTTGTGTTTTATTTATAGGCGTAGTCGAAATAGATTGATTTGTCTGCAAAATTTACGAAACACCACATTCATTTATGTATCACTTCGGTTACGGTGGAAATATTTTATTTCCCTTGAAAAATCGTTTGTTTTAGAAAAAATTCTCTTAAGCTCTAGAAGACAGACTTTTAATAAATATTCATTTAACTGTTTATTTATCACTTAAATTTGTCATTATTTACTTTTTAAATTTATTTACCTGTTCAGTTTATGGTGATCGATGCAATATCTC